ACAATATCGCCGGTGGGGTTATCTCGTCACAAAGGTGGAACAACGTCAAAGTCAACATGTGTTCGGTAAGAGGTGTGCGGGGTCGTGTTTCAAAGCCGCCGGCAGTAGCGCTCACTGTTCAGCTGCGTTGTCAACTTGTCACTCACGGGCACCGCACTCCGACTCGCGATATGCATTCCTGCTTAAATATTGACGAATATTGTTGCTCAGCCGGACTCTGCATGTCGATAGAGGCCTGATTGCTGTTTGACTTGACATATTGCTTTACACGAGTAAAGTAAAACGTATCCCGGCGGTAAGCGCATCAGTCAGCCAAGTTCACATTCATTTTACTACATGACCCGACGGTCTGCTCGCCGCTACTGGTAGGTCGTGCTACAGTGGTGACAATAGCGTCAGAGGCGGTGTCAGTACTGGAGCAAGCTGAACGTACTCAGACGCTGTGGACGCAAGAAAGGCGCTGCAGCGTTGCGGACATGTCGGATAGCCTCGTGAGAACGAGACATGCAAGGACAAATCGGTACCAAAGGTGGGCGGACACATGGTATGCGGTCTCGTACGTAACACGATTGACCTCGTAATTCAATACAACTGGTCTCGTGGTCGCACGGCGATGTCCTGCAGTCACCGTATATGTATGTGGGAGCTGCATAGATCGTAGTAGTCGGCGATCGTTATCCGCTTACGCAACACGCGGAAATGTCGCCGAGCTAACAGGACAAGGCGCGGATCAGCAATCGTGGTTCGGGTCAAACAGCGGTCGTGCGTACTCTATTTGCCTCTATAAGTTCCTCCCGTTCGACAGGTGCCCCCGCCAGAGATGCCTCTACCCACGTTCAAAAAATCTACCCACTACGGAAAAGTCACATCTTCGCCCCCTGACTTCGCTCCTCAAGCGGCCTCTGTCGCATCGTCAGGGTGACCTAAAACTTCCAGATCACTGACAAAGCCGCCTTTAGCATCAATTGCTGTACCCAGGACGTGGCCGGCGCGGTAACTGTACAAGAGCACTTCGACGAGCTTCTGGTGGCAATTGTCATCAACGGTCAGCATGTGGAAGGGGAGGGCCACAGTACTAAGACCGTGCACCTCAGTACGCTTTCCCTTCGTGTCCGACGAATAACGGGAACGTTCATGGCTCTCCTAACGCGTTTGCGTGTTTGGCAGGGCCGCGAACCAGGTCAGCTACTTGAGGATCACGACAGCGAGAGTTACTTGCACGGGGAAGGGGGTTAATCCCTTGTCACCTGCTGTTCGTTCGGAGTTGCGTAGGGTTTGATCAAGGCGCCGCTCCAAGAGCTGTTAGATATTGAAGTCTCGAAGAAAGATCGCAGAAGGGGACGACGCAAAACATTGCATCCCTAGAGAGTAAGGATTGAGAGGTGCGAACGGCTCTCGCGAGGGCTAAGAAATGATTTGTGGCCTGGAGCAGCGATCCATCCAAGCATGCTGGAGGCCGTCGGTAACTCGTGTATCAAGAAGGGATTTTGCGAGGACGAACTCGGGATGCGCTGCAATGATAGGGCGCCGAATAACAGGAATATTTATGGAAAGGGGTGAGGACATACTGTTGCCTTCCTCTGGCCCAGCACTCGCACTGAGCTCTCGCGGAAATACCATCCATCACACTAGAAGATGTATGGTCAACGCATTTGATTGCACTACACAAAAGATACGCATATACGAGGTTATTGATTACACTGGCGTCTCATCCGCTGACGAGCATCCTGTTCGACCGAGATCAGTGCGCACGGGATGCAGGGCAAACGTCCTCATGACCACCGCCCGAAGACGGCGGCCTTGTGCTCGGTATGATGGACGGGCATGAATATCACCGACTGGATTTGAAGGATGTGACATGAGTAAACACGCGAGACTCGAGTTAGAATAAGTTCTGAGGGAACAACAATGTCGGGCACGCAATTGCAAATTTATGCAGCAGATGTTCAGGGCAGGCATGAAGCAGCCGTGGGAACAAACTTCGTGGCGTGGCGCTTTCGGCTGGGGGTCCTGACTCCCGCGACATCTTGCTCGTTTTGCACCACCGTTGATGTCCCCAGTCTCGAGCTGTGCTGTCGCTAAAGTGAGTTCTCAATCAACGAGCATCTTTCCGATTGTAGCTAACTCTTTGTCTCTCAGAGTCTTGCTCTTAGTTTAATGATACAACAAGTTCAATATCAGTATTTATGCCGCGCTCACAGCCGCAAGCGTCTCCTGGACCTTCTTCGCAGAAGCCCGCTCGCGAATCTTGCTGTTCCATCTGCCAGATAGTCGTGTCAACGAAGGGTACATCATGGTTCGGAACGACTTACGCCGCGGTGGCAGGGAACTCGGTCGCCAAGAAGGTGGTATGGGTCCTGGTGATCCAGCTGGCCGAAAGTGAGTAACCTACCAGCCGCCGCAGGGCTCAGTTGGAGACGTACGGGATAAAGGACAAGTCTGCAATCGTCACCTTCCCACCGACCAGCCACTCCCGCTTCGACAGCACGCTCTCGAGCACGCCGAACACGCGCTTGACCTCGTTGTTGTAGCGCTCCTGCGCACTTGGGAGCTGCTCGCTGTGGTAGCGCATGAAATGCGCCGCCTGGCCAAAGTACGGGCCCTGGCCCGACGCCTGGAAGAACAGCCACTGGAGCTGCTGAAACTTCTCGTTCGCGTCGACGACGGAGATCTTATGCTCGGGATCGTAGAGCTCGGCGAGATACAGCAGGATCGCATCCGACTCCCTGTTTTCAGTACCGTCAACAGCCATTCGCTTGCGCTAGGAGAACAATGATATGCACCACAAGGTGTAGTCGTTGTTCTTGTGGTCGATGATGGTCGGGATACGCCCGTTCGGGTTGTGTTTCGTGTGTTCGGGGGCCTTGTGCTCGCCTTTGTCGAGGTCGAGATAGATGGACTCATATGTCAGGCCGAGCTCTTCCAACACCAACACCACCTTCCTATTCGCAACCGTCAGTCAGTCAACTGGTCATAAATCAGCTATTTCCGCGTCAGGACGTACCATCCGTTGAGACCTCTCTTGGAGGTGTACAATGTGAACTGCTTTCCGTGGGACATGCTTGGTGGTGGATGGAGGTGTTGGGGAACAGGATCATTGGATTGCAATGTTCTTTATACCTCGTCGGCGAGCCTCATGCACCTTCTAGTTCTATGATGTCGAAGTGAGACGCGCGCCACGTGCATCATCCGCAGGCGTACCCAGCTCTGTGCTTCTTCCTGCTCTTTGCGCAGTCCAATGATAAAGATTCTTTTAGTAATTTGTTGTTTTTGCTGCGGCTTCCACGCGCGATGACATTGCGCAATCAGGCTGAAATTCAGAGCTGCTTCTGCGCTCTCGCTCCCCTTGCCATCTGCTATACGTTTTCTCGTGAACGTGAAGCGGGGCTATGGAGGTGGATGTCAGAATTTATTCCAATTTAGACGGGGCACTGCTTGTATAAATACGGCCGAGGCGTGTCTGGCAATCAGATAGTGAACATAGGTAACAGGATAGACATATGTGCTGTATATCAGATATCTTATTCGAGGCCCACATTATACCTTGCTGCGACTTCCGTGATCACACCAACATTTTATACCGTTCATCGCATCTATACGCGCTCCCAAGCAGTTGGTCTTTTTAGCACGTCTATTCGCGTAAGTTGTCCCTGATCTTCGTCAAGGTGTCTTGGTTATGCGAGCTCTTGCGCGGATCTCACTGTAGACCCCGAGCCCCAGACCGCGTGGGGCCCGGGACAACAGCCTTCGTTACATCCAAAATTCCTCGCAGCGGTCGCTGCCAGCACAGCCTCTGAACTCTATCTTGATCTGCTGCGGCTCGCTCTTCTCAAGATTTGCTCCCTTTGGAGGAGGGGTGGATATGCTCGACGTCGAAGCATACCCGGCCAGGTACGCTCTGGTCGATGCCTTCAGCTAGCTCGGAGGGAGCCGCCGGTCTCGTTTAACTGGGCCTGACGCCGAACACATTAGAGGTTCGTTCGGCCCCTCCACTTTCGAGGTCACATCCTGAAGTAACTAACAACGTAGGTTCTTAGGCCGTGGAAGTTATAATCGACTCTCCTTCGCCCGGTCGTACCCAGGGGTATCCCGACGTTGGAGACGCGAGTAAGCTATGACCGTGCAGCTTCCTTCGACTGGCGCGATCCCGAGCACAACGAGTGTTTTTTCGCGGTATCGTTTGGGTCGACAACGCGCAAGTGTATCGCGCCGTAGAATACATTACTGAGCTGCCGCGGCGCGCACCGGCTCGCTGGCTCACACGCCGTCTTGCTCGCTTTGCATCACCATTGACATCCCCAGTCTCGAGCTGAGTTGTCGTCAAAAGTGAGTCGTCAGCCAACGAGTGTTCTTTGCAACGGTTGCTAACTCGTGAATTCTCAGATGCTTGTCCTTAGACTAATGATACATGCCGCGAGTTCAATATCAATATTTATGCCGCGTTTATGGCTGCACGCGCCCCAAAGATTGTCTTTACAGACGTCCGCTCGCAAAGCTTACTGTTCCAACTGCCAGACAGTCAGGTCAGCGAAGTGCGCATCACGACTCGAGGCGACTTACGCGGCGGTAGCCGGGAACTCGGTCGCAAAGTCGAACTCGACGAATGCGGGGATCGCGATGTCGTTCCAGCTGGCTGAAAGTGAGCGCAAATTCCATCGTCGCAAGACTCAAGGCCGAGACGCACAGGATGAAGGACAAGTCTGCGATCGTCGCCTTCCCGCCAACCAGCCACTCCTGCTTCGAAAGCACGCTCTCGAGCACGCCGAGCACACGCTTTATCTCGTTCCTGTAACGCTCCTGCGCAGTGGGCAGCTGCTCGCTATGGGCGTAGAGAAACCACGCCGCCTGGCCAAAGTACGGGCCCTGGCCCGAGGCCTGGAAGAACAGCCACTGGAGCTGCTGAAACTTCTCGCCCACGTCGGCGACAGAGATCTTGTGTTCGGAGTCGTAGAGCTCAACGAGATACAGCAGGATTGCATCCGACTCCCTGTATTAGCATCGTCAATGGGCATCCGTCCGCGTCAGAAGAACGAGAATACACACCACAAGATGTAGTCGTTGTTCTTGTGGTCGATGATGGTCGGGATACGCCCGTTCGGGTTGTGTTTCGTGTATTCAGGAGCCTTGTGCTCTCCTTTCTTGAAGTCGAAGTAGATGGACTCGTATGTCAGGCCGAGCTCTTCCAACACCAATGCCACCTTCCTATTCGCAACCGTCGGTCATTCAGCTGGTCATAAATCAGCTGTTCCCGCGTCAGGACGCACCATCCGTTCGGACCACTCTTATGGGTGTACAATGTGAACTGCTTTCCGTGGGACATGCTTGGTGGTGGATAGAGGTGCTGAGGGAACAGGATTTTCGGATTGCAATGTTTTTAAACCACGTTTTTATATCTAATCGATAATCCTGGTGTCCCTTCCAGATGCCGTGTGATCCCCGCCGAGTGCTACAGTTTCATATTTTTGATGCGTGCCTGTATGCATGTATGACTGTTACATCCGCTTTCCCACACTTTATATTATGTATATACGAGAGGGTGACCCGTGCTACGCACGGGCAGAGCGAATTGAGAAAAGAGATTGAGAGAAGAATTCAGAAGAGAATTAAGAGAAATCGAATGAGAAATGAGAGGAATGCGCCGCCCGCCGCCAACCTTCAGTTGGCTGGGCGTGCAGCGCCCCTGTGAGAGGCGCCTCGTGAGAGGGGATCACTGGCCAATGAGATGCCTCTTTGTCTCGGGGATTTGACGCCCGAGGTGTTTTATTATATTAGATATGAAACTGGCAGGAAGCCGAGGCGCGACGTACCCTCAGGAACAAGTAGATGACACCGCCTTGGACATCGTTAGTATCTGATAGCTCGTAGACCCTCAGCATCGACGATACAGGGGGCGAAATAGCTGAACGCTACCGAGGGCTAGTCGCAGCGAGCACACGGAGAATGGTAGCAACGAACGCTATTACGTAATCAGTATCATGTGACCTTTCCCAGGGATGGCCTGAGAAGGCTTTAGACCACGCAATGATGAAGACATACGACTCCGAATTACCTTCTATCTT